ATAAGGATCTTCAACACTTGAGTGAGTCTGTGCTTCACATTCTCTGGCGGACTGCACAGAAGGCGGGAACCTTCTTCCTCACTTTCATTACAAAAAGAGTTCCCTTCCAAGGGACTCAATCTTTCTTCAAATTTGTTTACGGTAATAGTCACATCTTACCCTGTCGGCAGTCAGGTTTATTCCTGATGATTGTGAAAAGCTCTGCTTTGATTCACTGATAAGTTTGTAATGAACTCTCAAGAAAAGCCAGCCTTCAGTTGCATGTCCTGCAGGTACACATGCACACGCATGAGTACCAATTTCCACTAAAGCAAAGATTTCTTAAATACGAACCTTACTACCTTCATTTACACTCCTGTAAACTAAAATAAAACTGAACTTTATAGGACACAAAACATGCTATGATCTAAAATGAACTTTAAAGACCAATAAAATCAAGACTAAGAACTTGCTAACAGTATTTCATCTTTTGGTTTTGGTTCTGAAACACTTCAGAAAATGAGGAACAAAGAAATGCCCATAAAATTTATATTAAGTTCACAGACTACCCAGTGAATTATTAGGTCCATAAACTAAACAATCAAGCACACAGAAAAGGGGGAAAGTATATGAAATAGTCAGTGATGACTGACAGAAGGACAAAAATGTTCACCTTTAGCCCAGAAGGCGGATCTATAGCCTGCATAGTTCCGATAAGGATCAAATACGAACTGGTTGCTACATACTTTACAGGGTCTCATGACTGCCTGTATGTCACCCATAGTTAATATCAAGCTGAATGATAAGCACCAGAGAAATCTTGTGAAAGTAGTTTTACGAGTAGAAATTCGAAGAAAACATTTATGATCTAATATTCCCTTCATGTCCCCTCCGCCTTGAACACTAAGCATATACCCACCGGCTTCACGCAGAAAAGTGTAGCTCTTCCTGCCTACAATAAATAAACTTACCAAGTTGCATTGTAAAAGGTCTCACTAGTTCTTTCTTAACTGCCAGAGCATACTCAGTGACTGTGCAACAAGCAGTCCCTGACTTAAGGGCAGTCGATACAGATGAACACTCACTGTGGCACTCTGAATTTTTTCCATCCTGCCAAAACCACCACCTGCAGTAGGTAAGCACTCACATCACTCTGAATCATTCCCTGTCAGACTGCCATGGGCCTCCTACCTGAACCTCTGTCGAACCAGCTGCCTTAACCCTGAGAGCTTCTACCTAGCCAATTTTCTTCTTCAGTTACCAAGACTTGAGCATTTGCATATATTATTACAGGTTAAAGGAAACAAACAAAAAAACAAAATCACTGTGAGCTAGTCTGGAAACCAAACACTTAGAGTAATGTCTCTGAGTATAAATCTGGAACTCTTGAATCACCAGTTTATGTTTAAATTTCTGAAATTCATTATATTGTAGAGTTTGACTATAAATATATTCAGCCTGAAAAACAAGCTCAACTAATCAATCGTCTTGCTCTGAATATTTATAGTTAAATTAGTATACATTTAACAAATACTTTTCAAAATTTCAGTTCTAGTTTAGGAAAGACGGTAAAAGGTATAATAAACACCATGCTAAAAAAAATTCTCATTTGAGTATCAACACAATTTACACATCCTACCTCTCTGATGCACATCTTTCTTTAGAATCAATTTTTAGGAATTCAAACTGGAAGTTAGAAAACCATGTGACTGACACGAGGTTTTTTCTGACTCAACTTGCTCTAAACTTCGCAGTGATCCTAGAGGACTACCTTACCGTTCAAGAGCCCAATTTTATCACCTGTGATAGATGAGATTTGGGAGACTGAAAGGTAACAGAATCTGCCATCTCAAAATAAGCCTCTTTGGTATAGGACTATTTTCAGGAGATTGAAAGACAGACACAGAAGCTCTGAAAAGAGTAAACATTATCCTTTTGTAAGGGAAATTTGCATTTATAAAGGAAATCTCCATTTGTAAAACTGTCAAGAGACTATTAGAAGAGAATCTATCTTATCAGTGGAGAAGACACTGGGCTTAAATATGCATAACAAACGCCTTGTTTACCTTGATTTTCCCTGTAAGTCCCATAGCTAGAGGCTCCCAACCCCACCCTCACCTTCTTTGTCTTTAGCTGAAGACAGCATTAAACCCACATTCTAAATCATCTCAGAGATTTACTCCCTTCTCCCAGGGTATCTCCCATGTATATAAGTCAAGCATTGCTAAACTTTTGTTTTTCTCTTATTAATCTGTCTTTTATTAGAGGTCTCTGCTAAGAACGCAGAAGGGTAGACCGGATCATTTTTTTTTCCTTCCCTACAGGGTTCTGCCCTCAAAACAGCCTGGTGTAAGAATCCTGCAGACCGTAATGGGAAGGCATACTGCCCACCAGCCACCACTCTCTAACCTCAAACAGCCAATCCAAACAACTCTTTCTTTTACCACTGCTGGCCACTGTCCCATTTTTATGAAGAAACTGTTTTTGTCTGCTTTTTTCAAATGTTTATAGACAGTTAATATATATTTAACAAATTAAAAAGTTTCAGATATACCTACCATAAAGTAGGTAGCCATTCTTAAAAATATCTGCACCTTTATTTGCTTTTCCTATTAAGTTTACTAATGTCTGAATTTGAAGACTACTCAGTATTTAAAACCTAAATTCTTGGTTTACAGTTTTCAGTAACAAAAATTCAACTGAGTAAATTTTGAAGATCTAACTGGCTTTATTAATCAATTCATGAATTAGGCAGCATTCTGTCTAGCACGTAGAGGGGAGCTCAAAAGGGCTACAAGAAAGGAAAGGTTTTTAAAGGTAGAGAGGAGGTGGAAAAAAGAAAATTATTTGCAAAGTATCCATTGTTTTAGTCAAGGTCACCCTTCTCAGGTGAACTGGAGGCATCTAATCAAATTTCTTAGTGCTGACCAGGAAATTCTCATGTTGACTAGTTAAAGGCTACAACGGGGGCGGGGGGGGGGGCGGTGGTGAAATTGCAGTTAGGTTAGGTATTGAGTCTTGGTTTACTGACTTGGTGCCTTGACCTAAGTGACACCATTTTGGGCCTGTGGGTTCCTTTCCAACAACACTATACCCAAGCAGAAGGTTACATATTGATTCTTGGAGGTATCTTCAAGATACCAAATACATGAGCTAGTAAAAAATAAACTCCTGACTTGAGGGGCCTGGGTGGCCTGGTGGGTTAAATAAAGCCTCTGCCTTTGGCTCAGGTCATGATCTCAGGGTCCTGGGATAGAGCCCCGCATACGGCTCTCTGCTCTGCAGGGAGCCTGCTTTTCCCTCTCTCTCTGCCTACTTGTGACCTCTATCAAATAAATAAGTAAAATCTTAAAAAACAAACAAACAAACAAAAAACTCTTGGCTTGAGCCCAGTTAAGGAAATTAAAAACTGCCAAATATCAAAAGATTATAGCATATACATATATGTAGCATATATATATGATTTATATATATGTATGTACGTATGTATCTCTCTCACAATAAGGAAATGTACAGAATACTAAGCTTATGTGCAAACACTGTTCAAGGAATTAATATTTGTGCTTTCAAAATTCACGGCTAGACTCTTAACATTTAAGGATTTTTATTTTTAAAACGCTTGCAATAAACATAATTGTGGAGGGTAATGATAAGACAATGGAGTACAAATGAGAAACAAGCCCCATCACTTTTATCTCAAATTTTGAACCTGACTGAGAATGTTTATTTTTTAAGTAACTGAATTTCAATTATATTATGCAAAGTAACCAATTCAATTTGACAATGCAAGAAGGTTTGGATATAATCAACAGGTGCATTTACTATTCAAAGGAACTGCTATAATCTTCTTTTACTTATTCATTGGAAAATAAAGGGTGAAGGGAAAGGGTTCTATTGTCAATACTGTAATGGTGTGGCTGAAGCACTGCTCTATTAGAGAGAGATTCCTAAATCAGTTTGCAAAAGAGCTAGACAGGGTAACATGTTTATGTCAATATTAAAGTCTACCTCCCACCCCAGCATTTTTGTAATCTGGGGAGAAATCTCAAATTCTTTTTTTTTTTTTTTTTTTAATCTCAAATTCTTAAGTGGGCTAAACTGGTTAACTTCTGGCTGATGCTCAGCTGTAGAATCCATCTGCTGTATCCCAACCTCCTAATACCACACCTCGTACTCCACAGGTTCTCATAAGACATCTACTGAAGGGTGCCTGGGTGGCTCAGCGGTTTAAGTGACCACTCTTGATTTTGCTGGGGTCATGATCTCCTGGTATGGGACCTTGCGCTCAGCAGTCTGTCTGCCTGTCTCTCTCCAGGGCCTCTACCCCTCCCCCAAATCATACACTCTCAAATAAACAAATAAAATCTTTAAAGAAAAAAAGACATTTGTTGAATGAAGTCAACCTTTCAATTGGGTTCACTGTTTACTGGTGCTCTTCCTACTCATTCTATTCCAAATCAAATACTACATTTGAGGGGCACCTGGGTGGCTCAGTGGGTTAAGCCTCTGCCTTCGGCTCAGGTCGTGATCCCGGGGTCCTGGGATCGAGCCCCGCATTGGCCTCTCTGCTCAGCAGGGAGCCTGCTTCCCTTCCTCTCTCTCTGCCTGCCTCTCTGCCTGCTTGTGATCTCTGTCAAATAAATAAATAAAAATCTTTAAAAATAAAAAAAAATTAAAAATAAAAAATACTACATTTGAAAAATCCGTGAAATTTCTTGTAGGCTCTTGAAATTTGTCTATTTAAGAATTTTTGAAAAAAGCCAGGAATGAACTGCGTGATTTTTTTTTTTTTTTTAAGTCTATTTCAAAATGTACCAAGGCTACACTGAGAAATCTTGCCTAGAATTTTAAATGTCTGGAGATGGTGGTCAGGAAAGAATGGTAAAGCCAAAGCATCAGACCTAACTAAAAAACCAGTTAGCTCCAGGGTTCCTTGCCTTTTAAATTTTACCTGAAACATAAAATTCAAAAAATCTAAGGTAATTCTAATTTAAAATAGCATTTTAAAGCACCAGACTTACCATTATAGGTTATTCTTGGCTTTGTTAAACACATCACAAGATGCAAATCCATTTCATCTGAAGGTACAAATTTTGAGCATACGGGGCACTTAAATCCTAAAAAGTAAAAGAAACGCGTTTCACTCAATTATTCCAAATATCCAATTCCTATTTCTTAAAAAAGCATCAAAGACAAAAATCATTTCAAATTTCAATATTACACATACAGTAACACACTACTTGATTTCAAGTTAGGTTGGGAAGTTTGTAACTATACTGACTTCAATCTATTTACAAAGACCATCCCATTTCAAATGAAGCAAGTACAGATGAGAAGAATCAGGCTCACTACAAAACTCCCATATCTATTCCTAACATATGGGTCCAATCATTCTATTCTTGTCCCTAATTTTTTACATTAACCTGAACTTTTAATTTTGTGAAAATTACCTTTCCCAGCTTAGTAGGGCACAATCTGAGTCACAACATTTTTACAGCTACACAGTACCTTAAAACTATTCTACTCCATTGACCTTTTAAAAATTATTCTGATGAAGAAAGTCAATATTGGCAAAAACCAGGTCTAGAATCCAAGACTTCTGTCTTCTAGTACAGTGATCTTTCTCACACTATGCTACTACATTCACAGTGCAAACCGAAAATAGGATCAAATAGGAAAGATGTCCCAGTCAACTCTGACACCTAAGTATTAGTTTCCTACAACATTCATTCTGCACTAAGTATTTGCCTGAGGTAGTCTATTAAAAATAAACTGGATACTGAAGGAGAGAATACCCTATGTATTCAGGTCTATCCTACTCCCTCACCTACCAGGGTAACTGTCCCATCTCTGGTTCCTTACCACGGCTCTGCTGCCCTACTGCTCCCTCTCTGACATCTGGAAGCAGATGAACAACGCTGGACGCCTGATTCAAGATTGCCAATTTATAGTTTGGCTAGAACAACAAACCGCAAGTGGAACACAAAAAGATGGTCTGGCCAATCTGTTTTTCTGGGAAATATGACAAGCAACAGCAAGAGTACACTTGTCAGCTGTAAAGAGCTGAGGCAGAAAGAGCACATGTAGGTTTGAGAGAGACCAGCGGCTCATGTAAGCTTAACTTACAAGAGAACTGAAACTACTGGTTTGCATGGAGACCTTGAAGCAGATGTGCAGACAGGACCTTGAGAGACAAGAGCTAGTAAGAAGGGTAGTGAAAGAAACCAGTCCCTGCCGCTGCCGCAGACTCTGACAGCTCTATACTTCTAGCACATGTGTGTTCTCGGAGGTGCTCTCCTCTGTTCACTGTGACTTGAAACTCACTGTGACCAAATGTGCCAGACTAGAATCATACACTTCATGCAGAACTTTTTATACAAATCAGGAAAAGTTCCTGGCATGGGTACTTAATCCAGGTATTCAAAGTCCTAAATGAAATATATGATTTGAACATTGCTTTGACATTGTAGTAAATGCATTTTAAAATAAAGAATAAAGGTATGGTTACTTCCCCTTCTTAAAAACCACCAAAATAAAAAGAAGAAAGAGGAAAGGAAATTCATTTAAGATGAAACTACAAAATAGCTATAATCCCCAAACTATACCAATATAAGGAAATTTAAGTCAATTAAGTCAACAGAAGTCAAATTTAAGTCAAATGACTCTCTTAAGTAGCATTCATATTTCAAAGACCAACCAACAATCTTTTGCTTGCAATTGAAAGAAAAAAAAAAAACCAAAACCCAAAAACCTCCCTTTAAGTTAAAAAGGACATCAAAGAGGGAAAAAGGAAACCAATTTTCTAACTATTGATCAGAATCATCGGAGTATAGGCATATAAACTCTTAAGTTATAAAAGCACAATATGTGAAGTACTGAGAGGATCCAACTGCTCAGGAAGTAGAGCCAAAGGAGAGAGAACTCTATGGGCAAACAACCACCTGGATTTTTAGTTAAGTACAATAAATTAGTATGTTTCTTTCTTCTCCCATCTAAAATCCACTGAAATGAGAATAAAAGAAATTAAGATAAAGAACCTGAGACCACAGATGAGAAAAGAGAAACTACCAGGGCTGAGAAAACAGACATCCCAAGTGCCCGTGGAAGTCAGTCAAGTCTCACTACCTAATTCTCAAAGGATTCAAAAATCTACACCTCTGGGGCGCCTGGGTTGGCTCAGTGGGTTAAAGCCTCTGCCTTTGGCTCAGGTCATGATCCCAGGGTCCTAGGATTGAGCCCCGCATAGGGTTCTCTGCTCAGCAGGGCACCTGCTTCCTCCTCTCTCTTCCTGCTTCTCTGCCTACTTGTGATCTCTGCCTGTCAAATGAATAAATAAAATCTTAAAAAAAAAAAAAAATCTACACCTCTGAATGACTTCCCAAGACAATGGTGAGGCATGAGGTTAACATCTAGATTGATTCCAAGACTGGGGGGAAAAAAAAAATCCCTGGATTCTCAATACATGACACATAGCAACTACAAGAAACTACAGTTCCCCAACTACAGCAGGAGAATGAAAGCTAACTATAGAATACAAGACCCAAAATAGAGATTTGAGGACCCCAGGCACAGCAATGGGAAGGAAGAGAAGAAAACACAGGGATAAAAGATCCATGTACAGAAAAGGGCCCATCTGCCAACTTTCTTTAGCAAGAAATTGGTAGACTCTTTTAAATCAAAATGACCCACAGAATAGATCATCAAGAACTTTGTCCATGGATAAGCCCCAGCCTTAAACATAAAGCTTCCCATCAGCTTTTCAGCGCCTCACTCATAAACATAATGCAACAGAAGAAAAAAATTTGCATGGTTAAAACAGAACACACCAGAAACAAATAAATAAAAAAAAAAAAGAAAATATTTACAACATCCCAGAAGGACAATATCCTTGATACACAAAGAATTCTTAAAAACTGTGAAAAATCAAACACCAGTTAGAAAAACGGGCAAAAGTTCTAAACCAGTATTTCACCAAAAGGATATTCAACTGAACTTTAAACAAACAAAACACTGGGGCACCTGGGTGGCTCAGTCGTTAAGCGTCTGCCTTCGGCTCAGGTCATGATCCCAGGATTCTGGGACAGAGCCCCGCGACAGAGCCCCGCATCAGGCTCCCGGCTTGGTGGGAAGCCTGCTTCTCCCTCTCTCACTCCCCCTGCTTGTGTTCCCTCTCTTGCTGTGTCTCTCTGTTAAATAAATAAATACAATATTTTAAAAAAAAAAGAAAAAACGAACAAAACACTGCACATTATCAGAATAGAAGCAGCACCTTCCTCTTAAGTTTTTTTTTTTTTTTTTTTAAAGATTTTATTTATTTGACAGAGAGAGAGAGAGATCACAAGTAGGCAGAGAGACAGGAGGGGAAGCAGGCTCCCCACTGAGCAGAGCCGAGGCAAGGCTCGATCCCAGGACCCTGAGATCATAACCTGAGCTGAAGGCAGAGGCTTAACCCACTGAGCCACCCAGGTGCCCCAAGTTCTTTATTTCCATTTTAGTGGGTCTTAGGAGGGAAGAGAAACACGTGTTTAATTCACATTTTTAAACTAGAAATCCAGGTTAGTTCTTTGTACTACTGCTTTCTCTCCTTAGGCTTTACTTTTATCTCTACATTAAGAAATCACTACTTACCCCAGATTGGCAAAAACTCAAAACCTTGACAACGTACTGTTGGTGAAGCTGTGAGGAAACAAGTACTTTCATACACTGCTAGTAGGAACGCAAAATTTTACAAGCTCTAAGGAGGGCAATCTGGCAATATCTAACTCAATTACATATGTATTTATCTTCTGATCTAGCAATCCCATTTCTAGCTTCTCACCCTGAAGGTATGTCCCTAAAACACATGCACAGACAGAAGATTCTGAGGAGACAGCAGAGCAGGAAGCACTGGCAGAACTGGCCTCCCCACCTAAATAATTGTGCTGGTGGAGTCTGTCTCAGGGAACTGTTCTGGAACTCTGGAGTTTACTGAAGGCTTGCAACTTCCAAGACGAAGACCAGGACAGTACAACTGTGGTTAATTTCAGCTCTGAGCAAAGCGAACAGTCACCTTTCCTACCACACCCCACCCCCGGTCACATGGCAAGGCACTTGTTCTTGGAGCAGCTTACACAGAGCTTGCAGGAACCAGGGTGGCCATACATGACTGTCCTCTGAATACTGGGACCTTGCACTCTGATCGCTGCTTCCCATCCAAGAGGTACAGACACAGAGAAGGGTAGTCATTGCTGTCAGACCTTCCCTATGATAAGCCCTTCCCCCACTCAAGCTGAAGAAATTTCAAGGGGCTTTAAAGGGCCTATGCCCTTTCCCCTCCCTTTATTTCTCACTTTTCCTCCCTATGGGAGCCCAACATTAAAGACTAGGAGATTAAAGAACAACTATACATACAGGGGAAATCAGAAAGACTGTGTATGCCCAGAGCAAGTCTTGAAGAAGACCTTAAATTTTTACCTCAGGTTGATGATCCTTGTCAGAGAGCCTACAATACCTCCCAAAAAAAAAAAACAATAATAAAAAGCAGCAAGACACTGGGAAGGGGGAAAATCTGATTTCCAGAATTAACATATTAGATTAGAATAACCAGTTTTCAGCAAAGAACAAAACAAAACAAAAACCTTAACCGTACAAAAAACCCGTAAAGTACGGCCTTTTTTTTTTTTTTTTTTTTTTTTAATTTTAGTTATTTGACAGAGAGAGACACAGCAACAGAGGAACACAAGCAGGGGGAATGGAAGGGGGAGAAACAGGCTTCCCGCTGAGCAGGGAGCCCTAAGCGGGGCTTGAACCCAGGACCCTGGGATCATGACCTGAGCCAAAGATAGATGCTTAATGACTGAGCCACCCAGGTGCCCCAAAAGTATGTCCTTTAAAGGAAAAAAAGAAATAAAAGAAACTGTCCATAAAAAAGCTCTGATGGCAGATACACTAGCCAAAGATTTTTAAAATGTCTAGCTTAAAGATGCTCAAAAAACAAAGGAAGATGTAGAGAAGGTCAAGAAAATATGATTGAAATATGAACAAAATGGAAATATCAATAAATAGAAAACCTAAATAGAAACCATGAAGAAATTCTGGACCTGAAAAGTGTAGTAACTGAAATGAAAAACTCACTAGA